CTAGGAGATAAGCATTTGAAATATTTCCTCAGGTACAGAAAGTTTTCCAAAAGAGATCTAAGAGTTGGGCATGATTGTGCATGCCTGTAATTCTAGCACTGTGGGAGGCTGAGGCAGGAAGATTGCAAATTTGATTACATTCCTGTAATCCCAGCCTGAGCAGTTTGGTGATTTAGTAAGACTACCAAAATAATGAATAAAAAGGACTGAGGAGGTAGCTCAGTGCAAAGGCTCTGGGTTTTTTGTTTTTTGAGACAGGGTCTCACTATGTACTTGAGACTGACTTGGAACTCACTATGTAGTCCAGGCTGGTCTCAAACTCACAGCGATCCTCCTGCCTTAGCCTCCCAAGTGCTGAGATTACAGACGTGTGCCACCATGCCCGACACAGAGGCTCTGGGTTTAATCCACAGTGCCACAAAATGAATAAATGAATGAGTCAATCGATTCAAACCATAATTCTGATCATACAGTTCAGAGAGTAACAGAACTTGAATTTAAAAACTTAAATCTAATTCCACAATCTATGGTTTTCCCATTTTGCTGAGAGCTGGAAGGAAACTTAGATCCCCTTACCTGCTTATCAAATTGGGTTCCAAGGAGCCCTAGGCTTTCAAGGAGGAAATTCAGGAACCTTAGCCAGGTGTGGGAAGAGGGCACCTGTGAGTGGGCAGGTAGGTCAGTCGAGCTTGAGATGTGCTTGTGGGATTCCAACAAAGAACCATCATTTTGGCCTGTTCTATGGAGTGACTAGGTTTGGTAGGGTTTTGCTACAGAAAAAGTATTTCACTGTGGCCTTCCATAGTACTCTTGCATCGTCTCATCTACTCTGGAAACTAAAGGGCAAGAATCATTTGAGCCCAGGAATTCAAGGCCAGCCTGGGCAACATAGCAAGACCCTAAATATTTTTAAATCATTAAATTTGGAGTCCAAGCTAGTTACAGTGGCACATGCCTGTAATCCCATCACTCTGGGAGGCTAAAACAGGAGGATCAGAAGTTTGAGTCCCATCTGGACAATTTAGCAACCCAATGAGAACCTATCTCAAAAGGAAAACTGAGAAAGGCTTAGGGTTGTAGCTCAGTGCAAAGGACATGACTTCAATCACCAGTTTCACAAAAAAACTTGGGGCCAGAAACGCTAAAGGCCTTGCCCAAGGAGATCTAATAATGAACAGTGAAGGCCTTTGCATCTAGTTTAGATATCTAACTTCTATCTGACACTACTGTTTCACCACAGCTCTTCCCATTATCTCCCCACTTGTTTTTATTTTTATTTTTGATACTGGGGATCGAACTCAGAACCCTGTGCTTGCGAGGCAGATGGTGGCACCATTGAGCTAAAGCCCCAGCCCTCCCCACTTGTTATTGCAGAAAACTCAAGAGGAGCTGCGGTGTGGCTGAACTCTCAGACATGATCACCTTGTGTATTCTGCTTGAAAAATGGAAGGCAGGTCCACCTTCACATTGGCAGGCTCGATGGTATTTAGCTCTTTGGCTGTAAGGCCAGAGTC